TTGAGACAAGGTCTCCCAACATCATTAAGTTGCCCAGCTAGGCTCAAACTTGCGATCCTCTGGTCTCAGCCTCCCAGAGTGCTGGAATAACAGGGATGCACCACCACACTCCGCATGGAAGGCATCTTTTAAGGATTTTAAAAATCTTCAGAAAGCATTACATTAATGCATCTGGAGCACGGTGTTCTCTGTGGCTGCCGGCCTTGTTGCAGGGTGTTTAGTCTGCCCTGGGCAGGCCCTGCACCTGCTAGGTCTTCCAGTCTGTGTAATTTGCCCAGATTGACCGTATCCCTCAGGCCACTCAAGCACTTTTCTGTCTTTACTCTGACTTTTTATGCCCTTGATTATTTAAAACACAAAAGAGGAAAACACTTCATTTGTCTCTGAGTAAACCCACATTCCTGATGATAATGTTACTGTCTTCCAATTGCTTAAAATACTGATTACTTGGGAGCTATTTATCAGTTACATGGTCGTCTCAGAAACAAGGGAAAAGAAAACCTGAAAATTCAGTTGATTTTTGTCATTCAAAGATTAGATTCAATATTTAGGGGAAATGGATTTCTTTAATATTTAAAACTAATTGTGAGATCAGCCCAGAAAAATTGCAAAGATTTATTTATATTGTGAGGAGAGATCTAGAAGTAATTGTTTCATTGTAATTTTTTTGTTTTGTTGTTGACCTGCATAATTTTAATCAGATCCGTATGATCGTAAGCATTCCATGGGAAGAATTCTTAAAGCAAATGTTAATTGTGTGCAGGTGAAATGTTACTACTATAATTCTCAGAGAGAATAGAGTAGATTGGAGACACTGGCAGTACCTTTGTATGGCAGATTGGGGCCTTTTTCCATGACACCTTGTAGCCAGCTTCTTGTAGGAATCCTAAGAGTTCCTCAGTCCCTTTCCAGCAGTCCACTTTTGCCCTACTGCAAAGCAGCAGGTCGTCTACATATTGTATTAAGCAGCAATTATATTTTTCATGGAGGAATCTGCGGAGATCAGAGGCCAAGGGTTCTCCGAAGAGAGTGGGCGCCTTTTTAAATCCTTGTGGCAAGCGAGTCCATGTCAATTGTCCTTTGTTCCCTCTTGTGGGGTCTTCCCATTCAAAGGCAAAGATTGACTGTCTCTGAGGTGCTGTCCTCAGACCGAAAAAGGTATCCTTTAAGTCCAAGCATGTGAACCATTTATGTCCCTTGGGAATTAGTCCCAGCAGGGTGTAGGGATTGGGCACTGCTGGATGGAGGGTCATCACTTCCTGGTTAACTGCTCTTCAATCTTGCTCTGGTCGGTACTTGCCATTGGGCTTTTTCATCAGCAATAATGGGGTGTTCCAAGGGGAGGTGCATTCTCTCAGGAGTCCCTCTTGGATCAGTCCGTTAATGTGTGGTTGGATGCCTATCCTGGCTTCTCGGGGAATCGGATACTGTCTCTGAGCTACTGGTCAGTTGCCAGGCTTCAGTTCAATCACTAATGGGGCATGGGCTATTGCTAGTCCTGGTGGGTTTTCTTCTGCCCAGACCCGGGAGAATAAGGTTTTTAGTTTTTCCATACCTTCTGACATTTTATCTTGCTCTTGGTAGAGCATCCACTCATCCTCTCTTGGGATAGTTATCACTAGAATTTGGATAGAATCTTCTTCCATTTTTGGATTAAATTCTAAGTGAACATCACCAGTTTCTCTGAAGGAGATTGTTGTTCCTAATGTGGATAGAAGGTCCCTTCCCATCAAGGGAATGGGGCATTGTGGTACGTACAAAAATTCATGAGTGACACTATGTCCTCCAATTTCACAGAGTCTCCTTTGGCAGAATTTCTTTTTTTAATTGGTCTCCAGTAGCCCTGGAAATTTTTATCTCTTTCTTTCCAAGAGGGGCTATGGGCTTGGCCAGAACGGAATGTTTAGCTCCAGTGTCTACCATAAAAGTCACTGAGTGGCCCCTGCTTGAATCTTGACAAGGGGCTCAAGGGGGCCAAGATTCATGGAGCCCTGTCCGTCCTAGTCATTTCCTTCTTCCACTGAGAACAGGGAGGCCTCTCTCCCTGCTGTTCTCCTCTTTTCTGTAATTTTGGACTCTTATCTTTACGATGTCCACGTTCCTCGCAATAGGCACACTAGTCCAGCTCAAGTGGGACTCTCAGTTTGTTGGGGTTTGGTTTTCCAGTTCCAATTTTAAGGACCCCAAGCATCAGTTTCCCCATCACAGCTGCCAGATACACAGCCTTCTGCCTTGCTCACCTGTCTGCCTCATCTCTTCCCTGCTTTTCTTCAGCCTTATCTCAATTAATACAAACCTTGCGAGCTATGGCCATGAGTTGGATGATATTCATGCCAGACCAACCTTCCTGTTTTTGAATTTTTTTCCTGATGTCCACTGCTGCTTGAGTAACGAATGTGGTGTTAATCATTTGCCGGCTGGTTGTAGCCTCGGTCGAAAGGGAAGCAGGTCCTATAGGCCTCACAGAGCCTCTCATAAAACTTATCTGGGCTCTCGTCCGATTCTTGAAGCACTTGTGCCACCTTGCTCATATTATGTGGTGCTTGGCTCCTAGCTCCATCCCTTTCAGAAGCGCCTGGTGATAATTCATCAAGCTGTCTCTCCCTTCTCTGGTATTGTAATCCCAGTTAGGCCTTTCTATGGGCAGTCTGGCTGCTGCATAAGTTTCTGGATCACTTCCCATGGGAGCCTGTGACCTGAGCCACTCTCTAGCCCCGTCTAGTATTTGGTGTCGCTCCTCGGTCTCAAAGACAGTTCTTAAGAGCTCCTGGCAGTCACCCCAGTTAGGGATGTGGGTCCAAAGATGGGGAGTGTCAGGCCGGTCAACGGCTCAGGCTTCTCGGAATATGGGGAATTGTGGTACTTCCAATTAAGTAGGTCAGAGGAGCTAAAGGGATGATGGACAAACATAGATCCCTCTGCAGTTGGGCACTCTTGCAAGGGCATTTGCAGATTAGCGGATCTAAGCTGGTGAGCCACGGGGGTCACCTCTGCCTCATTCCCCTCACTTTTAGAAACTCTGGCTTCAGTCGGCGTGGGGCCAAGCACTGATGCTGATACCTCAGGTGTTGGTGAGGCTATCCCTGAGACCCCTCTGGTCTGGGTGCTGGCTGGACTTGTGCTGGCTGAGGTTGAGGAGGTTGAAAGTAAGGCAGGGAAAAGTCCTCCCGGGTGGAGCATGGAATTACTGGAGGACCTCCTTTCTTCTCCTTCAGCCGTAGCATTAGAACTGCCCTTTCAGCTTGCAATGTGCAGACTTGGCTCCAAGGAAGCATAGCCACACAGATGGACAGCCATGAATCAATGCATGGGAATTGACCTGCATGCCCCTTTCTGGGGTTGTAACAGCCAGCCACACCTCTCTAACCTTTTCCCATCCAAAGTTCCCTCTGGAGGCCATTGGGGACTTATTTGTGGCCACTCAAGTTCACAAAGTGTACAAAGTTTCCGGGGTTTCATCTTAAGACCCTAATCTCCAGAAAATCCTTTCTTAAAATGTTTAAGTCTACATTCTAAAACAGTAGGTCAAGATGTTCCTGAACCCATGATCAACAACTGTGTGGAACAATTCAAATTATGGTGTATATGGTGCCCTTGAATGGTGATGCAGGACAAACAAAGGAGAGGTGGCTCCTCGAAAGCAACCCACTCAGGCACCTTCTGACTGCACAACTTGCACTTTAAGGACCTCACAGGGGAAGGAGGGTGAAGAACAGGAGCCTGAACTGGCATCCACTCCCAATTTTGTGGTAGAAGTTACCAAGAGTGATGACAAGAAGGCCCTTGGACTGTTATTATTCAGAGGATGAGGTTGGAGAAGAGGAGGAGGTGGCTGAAAGTGACATTTTCTTCAAGGAAGTTAGCTTTCAGGCCACAGGCGAGTCTGAATGGAAGGACACTAACTACACACTTAACACAGATTCCCGGACTGGGCCTTATATGATCACCTAATGGATTTCCTGGCTGACCAGGGAGTGGACAACACCTTTGCAGATGAGCTGGTGGAGCTCAGCACAGCCCTGGAGCATCAGGAATACATTACTTTTCTTGAAGACCTCAAAAGCTTTATCAAAAACCAATAGACTAGTCAGAGACACTGAAGGCCTTAATTCTATGGCAGACTTTGGCGAGGGAATAAAACCTACCCTGACACCAGACACGTGTACTTTGCAGTGGTTATCATCCTAACATCATGGGAAAAAAATAGCAAATTTAAATTACTGCTGTTGTGCTCAAGGATTTTATTTCTAGGTGGGGTTTTTTTGTATAACATAATAATGGACATTAAAATTGTTTTATCTCTTCCCCCCCCCAAAAAAAAGGACTGTCCAGGCATTCAGGAATTTTACTCGTCACAAGAGTTTCCCATCTGGCCTTTTATAGATTCATCCACAGTTTGCAGATCAGGCCCAATCAAGCCCGAGACTTCCAGGGATCTTTAAGCACAGTGGTGCCCAGCCCTAGGTCTTATGGCACAGGCGAGACAGTTTATTGTTTCTGCTGCCTGCTCACAATCATTCAAACATTCACATACAATCATTCAGAAGTTAAACATTCCCACCCGGGACCTCCTAAGATACAGAGTATCAGAACAAAGTCAAATTATGGACAATGTCCACCAGATGGGATACAATACCCGGCAGGGGTGATCAGGTCCCTTTAACAAATGAATGAAGTCAGCACAACAATTACGAAGTAGAGAATCTAGGGTCTGGTCCTGGGGGCCTACCGTGTCTGTCATCACCAATGGATTCATCCTCACTGCTGGTGGTGAGGCAGTGTCCCAGGCCTCCAGAGGACCAAGGACTAATCAGGTCCAAGGGGCACCCCCCTCCCCATGTCCGCAGCATCAGGAGGCAGTATCTCACTCCATCAGGGTCCAAAGCAACCAACCAAACAAGGGTCAGGAGTAGTTTTGCTTTGCCGGCTAATGCATCAAATGTTGTGGATTTTGCTGGGAGCAACCGAAAGACTCACAGGAAATGGAGGAGCAGGGGTAAAGCAACAAAATTTATTTGCTAGCAGGCCAGCCCCACAGGAACATGCCTTCAAGGACTCCCCCAGAGTTACATTGGTGGCTTACATTTATACTCTAAACCAGGGAATTCTGGTCATGTGGTTCACAGAAAGTTTAGGGTCTACATGCACTTTTGCTCGTCAGGCATGGTGACTGTTATCTTGGTTCAGACATCTGGCCTCACTTGGGTGGGGGGTTGTAGTTAGGCAATGTTGCAGGCATTTGCTTATCTCGTGCCTACAAACTTGTCATTATTGGTGAAGCATCTGGTATTGCCATTCTGAGAAGTGAAACAAGTAACCGAAGCAAGTTAGAGAAGCAGAATGAGGCAGGCAGTTATTCTATATTCTCCTTAACAATTTTAATTACCTACATCAACCAGGGTCCGAAAAATATTAAGTGGAAAATCCTAGAAATAAGACTCCTGTGAGTAGCAGGATCAAATCTCATGCCTCTATCCAGCTAAGAACAAAACTCATGGCCAGGGTCTTCGACACACTGCTGCACTGCTGGCCCATTAAGTCTGTTATGAGACTGACTGCTGTGACATCACACCCTTATTTAAAGTGTACTATACCGTTTCAAGCTTCCGCTGTGGGTACTAGAATGAATCCCTCTTTCAATAAGGAGGGAGTACTGGGTAATATTTCACAGGGTAGTTCTTATGGTTGAGTCTGTGAATAATCCCTACCACCATTGTTCATAGCCTACTAAGTGAATACTTTGCAGAGCAGACCATCTTGCCTACCTGATTCCCGAGATGTCTTCACACTCTAGACCCTCTGTGAGAAAACCACTGGCAACTTCCTCCTGAGGTCTCCTTGTCCATTCTTCTAATCCCTAATTTGGTATTTCTAGGGATTACACATAAATGGATGTAAATCCATGCCTCCAGCCCTCCCACCAGAAAAAGCAGTGAAAGCCGGATGTTCCATTTGAAATTCTACCCTACTTAGAGTATTTCCCACTGGCTGGCTGTCAGAGCCTCCTGACCTGGTGAGAGCTATAGCATTTCATTTCTGGATGGAGCCAGTCTATTATGCAGAATATATTGGAAACCAAACTCATGTTCTCTTCAGACACATGATCATAGAGAGTTCTCCCTCAAAGCCATAAATACCTGCTAGAAAAAGAGATAACAGTTGAGTACACCAGGCACAGAACATGGAAGGGCGAGCCAACTGCTTATGCAACTTGTGCACTCATTACTTGGTCAGGCCAGAGAATTGCTTGCACACATTTGGAAATGGAATGCTACTAGAAATACCCAAATTCATGGCTTAGCAGATTAATGAAGACTGAGCAATGAGTGAAGAAGAGCTCAGGCTGCCAGTTCTCTTGGTCTTTCACCATCAGACTCTCAGTTTCTGCAGTTTCTGCAGTTCCTATTGAAAACCAAGAGCCCTAATTAAAAACAATGTTTTTTGATCAAGAAATCAAAAGAACTTTAAAACCCAAGGGATCTTCCTTGTGCTTTTCTTGTTGGAGCCTGGAAGAGGCTCTGCATCAAACAGAAATTTATAATATAAATAAAATTTACAATCCATTAATCTGTTTAATCCAAAGAACCAAGTGACATCAGCTTATTCCGCTCTGTGATCCACCCAGAAAAAAAATTCCCTTTCCATGGCATTATTCAAATTTAACAGTTTCAAGGTTATTGTAATATTAGTTATGGGTATGTGGCCAAATGCTTTTTGTTGCTATTGTTGTTGTTACATCTAAAATCTGAAGATACCAACCAAGGGATGGAGGGGTAGTGAGTGCAATTTATCTTATATTCTGAAGATGGTATTCCCACATTTCTATGACTATTGCATCCCAGGATCATAATGTACAATCATGCCTGTATTCTTTCTTTTCTGTTTTCTGAAGGGCTCCAAGTAATGAGGTAAAGTGATGTAGCAGAGGTTATACACCTTAAATTAGACAATAACTCTACTTTCAACTGGAGAAGTTACACTGCTCTTGTCTATGGCAATCAAGTTCTGTTCCTTCCTTGGTGAATCCCATCATCTTTTATCTCAGTGGTATGGCTTATATCTAGATGCCCCCCAAAGCCTCATGCACTCATAGATGGGCCTTTGGGGAGGTGGTTGGGTCATGGATGATACTGGGATAGGGTAGGTGATACTAGGATTAAGGGTGTGTGATAACTAAATTGGTTTAGCATAGTTCTATGTGTGGATAATGGGCAGGCCCACCGCTGGTGCAGATGGCGTCACCCAAAAGGCTTGCAACGTGGATGGGATAAAAGGGAGAGGGGGGCTTGCTGTTGGCTGCTTGCTGCTCGCTGCCTTATGCCTGCCATGCCATGGACTGTTTCTCCTCTGCCATGCCACCCTGCCTTGGTGCCAGCAGACTATGAACTGAAACCTCTCCAAATCATGAGCTAAAATAAACCTTTCCTCCTTAACTTTGGGTGTCAGGTATTTTGTCTCAGCAACAAAAAGAGTAGTTAAGACACCCAGGGAGCCCATTTTCATGGCAGCCTTCCATGTTCATGCAAAGGACAGCCCCTACTCTCTCTCAAAACAGTTAGTGCTGCTCCCACCCATGTATTTTTCAGTGTTTTGGTGAGATGTCTTAGGCAGTTAAGGCTGCTGTAACAAAATATCGTAAACTAAATAGCTTTAAGAAACAGAAATTAATGTCTCACAGTTCCAAAGGCTGGGAAGTCCAAGATCAAGGCACCAGCAGAATCTGTGTCAGGGCCCATTTCCTGGCTCATACGTGATGCCTCTAGCTGTGTCCTTACATGGTGTAGGGAGCAAACAAGTACTTTGGAGTCTCTCAGGAGAGCACTAATCCCATTCATGAGACTTTATTGCTCCCATATTCTAATCATCTCTCAAAGACCCTACCTCCTAATGCTATCACATCAGGGATTTGATTTTTAACAGACGAATGGGCGGATAAATATTCAGACCATAGCAAAGGAGCTGTTCTTTATGCTCTTTTTGGAAAAAGACTTAAGTGGATGCATGAATGGTTGGCATATCCTAAACACACACAAACATTTACTTCTCCCAGACTCTTTGAATAGTATTTCATAATGGTGGTGATAACATCCCAAAGGGTGTGCTTTAAAATCTGTGATTTGTTTTTTGTAGCCCACAATAATGGGTGAATTGAGCAGCACCACTGCTTTTTCCTGGGTGATTACAAAAAAAGATTCTAGATATCCTAAAATATTAAGACAAGTCCTTACAGCAAGCACTTATCTATGTACCACACTGTAACTTCCAGATGCACCACAGTGTAATCATGTGTGGAAGTTTACAGCCACCCAGAAAGGAGCCTGGAAAGAAACTTCATGTCATGTAAAAAAATACAAAGTGTTGGTCTACAGTTTTAAAACACTCTGACTTTTCTAGAAATACAAAGACATAAGTTCAGGGAATATTTTCATTTGTTCATGCTCTTAACTTTACAGAATTGCTCCCATTTTGGTAAAACCCTTTGGACAGCTTATTTTGTTTGAATAACCAAATAAATAATTTTACCAGTTTAAACTGATAGGTTTTACTATCACAAAGAATCTATCCATCCATCTCGCTGTTGCCCAAACTGGCCACAAACCTACTGGCCTCAACTGACCCTCCTGCCTCAGCTTCCCCAGTATTTGGAGCTCTAGGTGTGTGCCATCACATCTAGGATGTGTATTGTATCTTTTAAAAGTCAAATGAAAGGTAAAATATCAATAATCAAAAGTATGAAATGGAAAGGAATAGAGAGATGGGTGGAGGACAGAGGAAGGGAAGGGAAAGGGGATGAAACTGATGTGTTAGGTACACGTGCCAACTCCACACGAGGAACATAGACATTATGTATCACACACACGTACTGACAAACTAAAATAAAATACACCTTTAAAATTGGGTTTTATAACACATACAAATGGACAGTTACCAACATCTTTGCTCTAATACAGGAATTAGGGGATCATGAAGCCTTAATTTTGCAAAGAAAAATATCTATGAAAAATCAAATATGTATGTATGTATGTTTATATATATATATATATATGTTCTCAGATTTAAGCAAAGACTTAGAAAATTTCAATTTGACTCTGGAATTTAAAAAAAAGTACTTAGATAAGGATTTCATTGTTTTTTACAAAATAACACAATCACAAAATTTATAAAATACACAATTTGTTAAAAAAATTAGTCTGTCCAGCTGTTTAAGAATTATGTTGATGAGGGCTGGGGATTTAGCTCATTGGTTCCGCCACCTGCCTCACAAGCACAAGGTCCAGAGTTCAATCTCCAGTACCAAAAAAAAAAAAAGAGAGAGAATTACATTGATGAAAGCAAATCCAAATAAAACAATTTCATCTACTTCACTGAGCAATTATATTGTTTCAAGATGAAGAGAGATGTAGAAAATCATCTGAGTAATGAACTGCATTCAAGAAAATTTTCATAATAAGTGGATGTGAACACCCTTTGTGTTAAAAGGAAAAAATCTTCCCTAATTGCATATGTCAGGATTTTTATGAATAAAAATTCATAGAGAAAATGTTATTTTCAAAATTACTGACAGCAGCATTTCTGCTTCCACGCAGAGGTAACAGTGTCTCAAATCACACTTCCACTGTAAACAACTAGAACTGAACAAATACAGGAAGAAACTGTGCCTCTATGTCCGACATCACCGAGTACAGGCCTGGCCCTTGCACAAACAAGGATGAGTGCCACATCCTGCAGCGTGCTTTCCACAGACAATTCTAGGGTGCTGGGAGAGAGAGTGAAATTCCAGACACAGACCTTCAGTCTCACTGGGGTGGGCAGACGGAAATCAGAGTTTGGGCAGATTAAAAGGCTTAGAATTTATGGGATATAATATCAAGTAAGAGAAAATGTCAAGGAAAGAGCTAAACGGGGCTCAGTCTGGGTTTTGACCAAAAACTAGTCAGTGTTTGCAGAGGATGAGACCTTGTTAGACAACAAAGGACTAATACAAAAAATACAACAAAGAACAAATATTCTCAGGGAAATTAAAGATGGAACTCCTGAGAGATTATACCAATGGTTCCAGGGGCTGAGAATCATTTCAGTTCTCACTAGCTAAAATGAAAAAGACTCACCAAATTGACAGGGCATTCAGTAAAGATTCTAAAATGGTCATATCAGCACAATTCATAATAGCCAAATCATGGAAACAGCCTATATTTCCATCAACAGATGAATGGATAAAGAAAAAGTGGTATTTATACACAGTGGAGTACTACTTTGCCCTAAAGAAGGATAAACTTGAATCATTTGTAGGAAAATGGATGCACCTTGAGACCACAATGTTAAGTGAGGTAACTCAGACACACAAGCTTAAATATCACAGATTTCGAGCTCCCCACCTCCACCCCAGGCTCCTAGGGCAGTGAAGCTCCCCTGGTCCCAGCACCCAGAAGGAAGCTCCCTGCCTCCATCCTAGGCTCCTAGGGCAGAGAAGCTCAGCAGGTTCCAGCACCCAGAAGAAAGCTCCCCGCCTCCATCCTAGGCTCCTAGGGCAGAGAAGCTGAGCTGGTCCCAGCACCCAGAAGGAAGCTCCCCTGCTGCCATCCCAAGCTCCTAGGGCACAGGTGAGCCACATGGGCGCCAGAAGCACCCCCCACCATGGAAATGAGAAGACACATAAACAAGCCTCAAAAACAGACTTCCACATAACCTACAGCAACCCCAAAGGGAAACAAGATGGAACACTATGATAATCAAGCACCTGGACTCTCTCAACTGGCAACAAAAGAGGATCTGGGAAAAATGAAATCAGAAATAATTACTCAGATACCAGCAAAGATTTTGCTCATGGTGCAAGATATGATTAATAAATCTAGAGAGGACACAGATTAAAAAAAAATAGAGGATCTGATGAATATGATGGAATCCCAACATAGGAAACAAATGGAATCCGTAAAACAGATACAAACAGATTTCCAGGAGATTAAAAACTCCATCGAAAGTCTGCGCAGCAGAATAAACCAATGTGAGGATAGAATTTCACATATAGAAGATAAGATGGCAATTAGTGAAGAGGAAAAGAAAAATTGCTTTAAAATTGTAAGGGAACATGAGAGATCAATCCAGCAGCTGCTAGACGGTGCAAAGAAGAATAACATACGACTGATTGGAGTCAATGAAGAAAGAGGAGAGAGTGCAGATGACATAAAAAAACTCTTCACAGAAGTGATGGCAGAAAACTTCCCAAGGAGGGGAAAAGAACTTGACATACAGATAAGTGAGGCGTATAGGACTCCAGCTAACCTTAAT